TCACAGATGAGAGAAACTGAGGCCCTGAGAGGTCAACTGGTTTTCCCCGCCAGGTTCGCAGAGCTGGTATCCGCCCCCAGGAATGTTTACTCCAGAGCCTGGTGGAACACAGAGGGATTCAGTCCTCCAGCTGGTGTGGCTGGAACTTGTCCTCTCCATATTATAAGGAATCAAGAGCCGTGATTAAAATGTCAGGGGAGCACACACACACCTTCCTTTCAAGGTAGACGAGCTGACTTCATTCTCCCCACAGTGAAAGGTCGGGAAGCTGGGGGAGCTGCAGGGAGGAAGCCTCGCCGGAAGAACAGAGGGGCATTATTGATGACTTCTGATGAAAGCAGAGTAATGTGCTTTGCCCCGACTCACTGGGGCCCACATATCAAATGGTCCTTGTCTTCATTTCTGGAGCTGGGGCTGCTGACCAGAGTAGGGTTGCAGGTTCTGGCTGTGATGGCCTCTCCTGGCTCAGTGGCCCTGCTCTCCCGTCCTCCACCCCCTCCCCCAGAAGTTGTCCCCCTGCCTCAAAGCCGGGAGATGCAAGAGCGTAGCAGCAGCAAGGGACCAAGGGAACAGGCATTTAAGGGTGTATGTGTAACACGGGCAATCCCAGGGCAGTCCTGAGGGGTGAGGATTAGCCTTCCCGTTTGTAAAAGTTAGGAAACTGAGGCTCAGGGAGCCATGGAAGTGGGCCCAGCATCCTGAGTCACCTCCACACCCCCCAGCTCCTGGGCTGACACCCCCTGTGTGAGTCACCTTTGCCCCCTGCCTGGGGCGTGGAATTCTTCGACTCCTTTTCTAAGACGTTCGTTCATTCATTCACTCCCTCCCTCCCTCACCGACTCTTATCGGTTCTTTCGCACTCACTCATGCACACACACACTCCTTTACTCAGTGAACATGTCCTGAGCCTGCTGTGGTTCGGTCTCTTCTGCTTTCTTCTCTCTCCCTGGGGCAGTCGGGAAAGCGAGCTTTAAGCAGTAGGGTTGGGTTAGGGGACTGGGGGTGAGGGGTCGCTCCCTGCCTGGCCGAAGACTGGAAACAACCTCTGGCCCGAGGTGCTTTGCCCCCGGGGATGTTCTTATGACAAACCCACGTGTCTGGGCCTCAGCTACTCCCTCTGTCGAATGGGCCCTCGGAGGGCTTGGGACCTGAGCAGCTGTAAAGAATCTGCCTGTGGTGCCTGGGACACCCTTGCCATCCTGTCCTTCCAATGAATGGCTTGTCCTCTGCTTAAAGAGCCAGGTAGAGAATGGAAATTGAGACCCAAAGGCCTGCTCTGGGGAATAAGTGATATTTTACCCATTGTTCTTCTTAGAGTGGGTCTCAGAGAGGTTTAGAAAATCTCAGGTCTTAGCAAGAAGGTTGGAGCCTTCCAGTCACCTGGAAGATGAGATTAGGTACCATTTACTAAACACCTGCTAAGTGCTAGGCACTCCAGAGGCATTGCCTACAGTATGACAGTTGGCAAAGTAGGGACAGTTTTCCCATTTTGCAGATGAAATAACTGAGGCCCAGGAAGGCTCTCCCAAGCCCAGAGTTAGAAAGCGACAGCCACGAATTCGGCTTCTGAATTCCAAGCTCTTTCTGCTGCCACAGCCAGGAAGGCCACTGTGGGCTCCCCAGTCTTCACACCCCACCTTGGCCGTGCACCCTGAGGAGGTTCACGCCTCCTGGCCTCTGCACACCACGGAGGCCTGGTTCTCCTAGCTCTTCTGCATGCAGAGCAACATGCAAGGGAACTAAGTGTCATGGGCATGATTTGCTTCGTTTTCCTTTTTATTCATTTGTGTTAATCTTGGGCCCTATCCTCCCAGGCCAGGGAGATGCCAAGTCACCATCCTCCCTTCCACCAGGCCTTTCTTTATCTCTTCTCAAGATCCCTATCAGCCTCCTAACATCTGTGGTTGGTCATTCCCCGCCCTGCCCCCCGCAACCATCAGCCAAATGTGGTGAAGCCTGTGATCTTGCCACCACCAAGGTAGAGCCTGAGTCCAAAGACAGACATACCCTCTGGTGCAAGCTTGTGGCTACATTTATTTCCTTGCGTTTCAGAATGTAGAAACCGTGACCTTCTCGGGATAAGGGATGGCCACAGCTGACCACCTTCTGGGATGAGTCCAGATGTGGCAGCCTCCTGGTGCTGGGAGTTTTCTGTGGCTACCATCTGTCAAAATCCAGGGCACGCCACAGCCTGGGAGCACCCCAGGACCCTCTCCTCACGACCCCTGCTTCACCTCACACCAGTCACCACCTGCAGATGTGAGCAGGTCAGGCAGGCCAAAGGCAAAATAATGAAAATGGGGCCATGGCAGCATCAGGCGGGCTGCTAGATTTCTCTCAGCTTTTGAGGAGTCCTCCACTGCCCCACTGAATATGCCAGAATTCCCCCTCCTCCATTGACCAGTGACCAGCACCTTGAATAGACGTAGAATAATGGGGGACATACAGCTGCATTGGGTGATGTCAGTAGACACACACAGTAGCTTCCTGAAGAGCCCTTTAGCCTTAGGCACCCTGTGAGTAACTCAGACAGGGTCAGCTGTCTGGCGGCTTGAATGCTCCCAGGGCCTCAGTTTCCCCACAGCTCTGTGTTTTCTCATGTACCTCAATGAATGTGTTGTATCTCCTTCTGTTCCAGGCCTGCCCGGTGAACGGAGGCTTCAGTTTGGGTGCCAGGTGTATGTGAATCATAGGCACACGCAGGTTCCAAAGCGTGTAGATGAATATAGATATGTGTGTGTGGTTATTTTTTATTTTTTTATTATTTGCTCCATTGCACTTAAGTCACATTTTCCTATCCTCTGATCCAAGCTCTAAAAGCGTTTTGCGGTATAAAATCGCCCATCATCTGCTCCACTCTACCAAAATAACCCGGCTCCCCTGCCGTCATCCTCCTTGAAAAGTAGCCCTGCGTCATGCTCTGAGGCCGGCGGGGAGAGGCCTTGCCCACTGAAAACACTTCAGAATAATCCCCCCAGCGCCCCCCAACCTCCTCTCTCCCTGGGGGGTTGCTCTGGTTTCTTGGGCTGTTATTACTGGAATGCCAGCTGCTCTACTTACAGCCCATCCGTACAGACCTGCTCTGTCTGTCTGGGGCCTCACAGCGCTCCGCTTAGCTCATCTCTTGGAAATATAATTTTAAAAATAAACGCCGGTTCGATTCACACTTCCCTCTTGCCTCTGCTGTGTCTCCTGGCCTGTTCGCTTGGCACCAGAGGACCCAGTATGGCACTGCTGTCTCCCAGAGCCCTCCCACGGGACCTCCAGCGCGGCCTCAGGGGCCCTCCAGGGCTGCCCAGATTGGCTTCTTCTGAGACCTGTGGTCATTTAAGTGCCCCTTAAATGTGGCAAGGGAGAAAGAGTGAGAGCTCTGGGGGCAGACAGACTTGGCTCTGCCTCACACTTGCTGTGTGACCTTGGATAGACTACTTACGTCTCTGGGCCCATGGGTACATGAGAGAAGAGGTGGTGCCTTCCTCGGGTGGTGGCATTGGTTTTTATGAACGACATAAAGTGTGTCTTTAGGGGAAAAGTACGTTTAAAGTTTCCTTGCAAACCTTTTATGCACTTTGGTTCTTTGATGGTGCCAGAAAGCAACTCGTAGGTAGGCCTGAAAATTTTGAGGAAAACATAGCATTATGTTGACACATCACAAGTGGAGTCCTGACAACTTCGAAGCAAAGTGAATAATTCGTTAGGTAGGCTTGTTTCATGCCTGGGAAGCAGCAAAGGGCCATGTTGAGAGTTTTGAACTCCAGTTCAGCCACTAATTACCGTGGCGCTGGACGAGTGACCGGGTGTCCCTGTGCCTCAGTTTCCCTGGCTGTAATATAGTTATAAGAATAGTACCTCCCTCCTAGGGTTGGCCTGGGCATTCAGCGAGGTGAGAGGCGTGAGCATTTCAAAGCGTGCCTGGCACAGAAAGGTGCTGTGTAAGTGCTGTCTCTTTTGTTGTAGTTCTTATGTTATTATGTGGCAGGAAGTACAGACATACCGGTGACATTCATGACCATCCCCGTACATACAACAGCAGTTCTTAATCGGGCAGTTTTGACCTCCAGGGGACATCTGACAGTGTTTGGAGACAATGTGTCATTTCGGTTGTCACAGCAGGGAAGAGAAGGTAGTACTGGCGTCTCACGGGTGGAGGCCCAGGATGCCGCTCACCGTTCTTCAGAGTACTGGACAGTTCCGACAACAAAGAATTATCTGGTCCCCAAAGTAAATAGTGCCGTAAGAAACTGTGCCCCGATACAAGATTTCTGGTAGCAACATAGGCCCCTCTCTCCTCTGTAGCACTTGCCTTTGTTGTAATTTTGCATTTATCGGTAAGATTATTTGATTACTACCCGTCCCACTGATATAGTACAAGCTTCTGAGGGTGAGAGGAGATTTGTTTCTCACTCCAGCCCATCCAGGCCAGCGCTGCCTATTTAGCCCACCCCAGATGTTACTCAGTCACTGGCAGCACTGGTCCTGGACCTGTCAGGCCCAGGTTCAAGTCCCAATTTTGCCACTTCTTGGCTGTATGACCTTGGGCCAGTGGCACTGCCTTTCCAAACTTCCGTTCCTTCATCTGCAAATGGGATTGTAAATATCTGATAAATTTAGAGTAGAAGTTAAGACCACAGGCTCCAGAATCAAAGACAGGCCCAAGTTCAAGTCATAGCTCTGCTACTTATTATGTGAATGTAGTTACCTGTTTAAGCCTCAGTTTCCTCACCTCTGAAATGGGTCTAATAATCCCCCTCCTTTCAGAAGGTTAATATGGGAAAGAAAGGAGCTGATAATGGTTGCTTCTTCTATTATTATTTCATTCTTCATCCAACAAGTGGAGTTTTTGAGCCCAGAGTATGTTCCAGCCCCTGTTGGTTACCACGTGGTGGGCCTAATGGGGCAGAGCATCTGCACTTGCTGAGCTCATCATCTCGTGATTTGGGAGGGGTCTGGCCTGGTGCTCCCTCCAGTGCTGACCTCTGACCTCCCCTCACCCCTTTCAGATCTGTGCCATCATCGGCGGGACCTTCACTGTTGCCGGCATTCTGGACTCGTGTATCTTCACAGCCTCGGAGGCCTGGAAGAAGATCCAGCTGGGCAAGATGCATTGACGACCCGCCTGGCCCGATGGCCGAGGACCCAGGGAGACCGCCAGCCCTGTCTCCAGCGCCCCGTCTCCTCCTGCCCTCTATCTGGCCCAGGATCTGTCTGCGTCCCAAAGTGGGGGTGAGGGGAGGGAGGGGGTGGCTCACGGGTTCGCAGCTACCTCTTTTCCCCATGTTTAACTGTAGATGAATTACACTGCCTGAAGTCTGGGTGCCCCTTTCCTTCCCTGAGGAGCCCCAACGCCAGAGTCAGGCAGGGAAGGCTCGGGAATGCTGGAGACCACTCCTGGGAAAACTGCAGTCCTTTCCCTGTTGGGCAAGCAGCTCAGAATCTATGTTGACCAGCTCTCAGCCTGGCTTTGACAATCTCCCCACTGTTTGGTCCCACTAATCACTTGGTTTCTCCCCTGGGCAGCCAGCCTGCAGACCTGGGCTCTGGGCTTTGGACCAGGCTGCCCAAAGGTACCTCCCACCTGGTGCCTTCAACAAAGAATGGTACTTCCCAGGCAAGCCCCTGATACGTGGCCCTCTAGATGGAGCCCTTGCTTCTGCTCCATCCCTTCCTGCCCGACCTAGAGCCCAGGCCTCAAGGCCCTCACCCCCACCCCTGCCTTTTCTTCCCCAGAAGCAGATGCCCAGTTGTTGGGCAGCAGCTGTGTAGACTCAAGTCTGCCCACTGGTCCCTGGGTGCCTGGCGAGTTCCCCTTTCTCTCTCTCTTCCTCTTGTTCTTCTGAACCCCCTGCCAATGTGCCTCAGCCCCCGTGCTGTGTGGCCACAGCATGGCTTGGTGGAGGGGCTGGCTGTGACTGGGAAGTCATCCTTGGAGAGCCAGACGTGGTTTGTGCACTTATGTCCAGATGGGAAGCATCCTTTTCCGCGACCCTGAGATAATCATGTCTCAGCCTCTCCCAGGTGGCTTGCCGTCGGTCCCAAGGCCTTAGGTGGGGGAAGCAAAGCAGAGCAGCCTTTCTCCCATCTTAGCATGTCCACCCTCGGGGCTCCCAAGGGTGTATAGCTCTTGGACCTCTCTGCAACCCAGATGTGGCCCACTTGCCCCACCAAGCTCCCCACTGGCTGACCACACACTAACTCGGTCCTGGTTCCTGGGGCAGCCCCACTGTTTCCTCACTTGCTCTTGGGTGGGTCCCTACCCCACTGCTCCCCCCCTATCCTTCCCCTTTAGTCCTGAAAGGGAGAGGCAATGGTCCAGGCATGAATTACACCCAGGGAATTTTAGGTATGCCCCCCCCTTCCCAGGGAGAGAGTCGCCCACCTGTTTTCCATTTATATCAAGATGGTTTGCATACTTTTGTAATTAAGGGGCCTGTAATTAAGGGGAGTGGAAGGCGTTTTTAAATTATCTCTGGATGGTTCAAGTCTCTGCCATTCGTAATTTTTGACTCTAGATTCCAATTAGAAAAGCTTCCCCTTTTGCATATGAGTTGATGAATGTGAGTGTAAACTGCATTTGGGTATTTCTGGTATCTGTGGCCACCCAGATGGATTTTTTTTTTTTTTTTTTTTTTTTTTTCTCTCTCCCCCAGTTACAGAAAGGAGCCCCTTGGGTGTGTTTTTTTTTTTTTTTTTTTTTTTGCATTCTCTTCCCCAGTTACAGAAAGGAGCCCCTTGGGTGTGTGAATACGTGTGGCTGTAGAGGGTGGGCAGGGCAGGGTGGGGAAATGGCATGCAAGTGAATTGAAATCCCATGTTTATGCATTTTTTAAAAAAAACAACTCTTGAGGACATAGGGGATGTCAGTTTCCTATGGAAGAGACACCTCTGACCCATTATTCTTATAAACAAAATCTCAAGGGAAAAAAATGTTTTAGTTCTTTCTCCACTCATTGGGTTCAAATAGATTAAAAGGCTGATTTTCAGAAATATTGCTGTGTGTTGATTGATTTCTACTTGATTGTGGCTGGGTAGCCCGGAGGCTGGGATCACAGTCAGAACATTCTAGAGGAGAATTTCATTCTAGAGGAGAGAAACTGGGAAATGTGGAGATCTGTGAGCATGATCAGAAAGTCAGGACCCCTTGGATTCAGTCCTTCCTTTACTGAATCCCTACAGAATGTCCCCTGATCTGCTACTTGCTTTTTTCTTTTTAATTTATTTTATTGAAGTATAGATGATTTACAGCCTTGTGTTAACTTGATCTGCTCGCTTTCCAGTTGTGTAGCCTCAGGCCAGGTCCTTAACCTCATGGTGCTGTTGCAGAAATTAAATCTATAACGGGTGCAAATAAGTTATACTGGATCAGAACAAGCTCATGTATGCAGGAAAGTGGTACATAGTAAATTTTCAAAAATGGTAGTTGTTCCGTATAGGTATTCCCAGATAGAATAAGGGAGATCCACCATCAGCTGTGAGAAAGGGACTTCCATGGACATTTGCCCAGTCCTTCAAGGCCTTCACTGGAACGGCAGGGACGTGGATAAACACGTCAGAGATGAATGTGAGAGCGAACCAGTCTGCGAGAAACTCTTCACAGACCCTCCCCATTCTCTCTTTAACATTCTGTGCGATACTTGAATTACTGTGACACTCAAAGCTAGTGATGGAGAGCATATGCCCACCGGTAGTCAATGAGGTGTGCTCCCAAACCTGTTTGTACCAGCTGTGCTTTATGCTGTAGTGATGTGACGTGACTTTGTTAACCAATGAAATACGACTGAAGAATGAAAGAGTCTAGTAAAACTAAGTTGAATACTTTGGAGAGACCTGATAAAGGTGAGTTGCCACGCCCTCCTCAAAACGCTACCGAATTCAGGGAATTCCCTGGCAGTCCAGTGGTTAGGACTCTGCGCTTCCAGTGCAGGGGATACTCAGCCCCTACCCCCGCCCCCCAAAAGAACCCCCACGAATTCATTGTGAATAAGGCAACTGAAAAGAGTTGGGGTGGGGGAGTCCTTGAGGATTCTGCATTCACGTTGAAAGTAAGTTCTCACTCCATGTTAAAGAAAACGAAACTGGAGCCCTGCGGTTGGTTTATGTAAGGACATAGTTTACATAAGGAAAATGAACTCCAGCAGAGTTTCTCAGTGAAAAGCCTTGCTCAGGGTCAAAAGATGGGCTAATGTGGGGTTTTGTTTTTTTTTTTCTTTTTCTTTTTTTAATATTTATTTATTTATTTGGCTGCACCGGTCTTCGTTGTGGCACGAGGGATCTTTGTTGCTGCATGCGGGATCTAGTTCCCTGACCAGGGATAGAAACTGGGCCCCCTGCATTGGTGTTACCGAGTCCAAGCTCGCTCTGCTCGCCGCACGACAGGCCAATAAATAGGGAGACAACGTGTTGAGGCAAGGAATACAACTTTATTCAGAAAGCCAGCAGACCGAAAAGATGGTGGACTAGAGTCCCCCAAAAAACCATCTTATTGGGGTCTGGATGCCAGTTTCTTTTATAGAATCAGAGAGGGAAGTAAAGTAAAAAGGCACATAGAGGGCTTCCCTGGTGGCACAGTGGTTGAGAGTCCGCCTGCCGATGCAGGGGACACGGGTTCGTGCCCCGGTCTGGGAGGATCCCACATGCCGCGGAGCGGCTGGGCCCGTGGGCCATGGCCGCTGAGCCTGCGCGTCCAGAGTCTGTGCTCCGCGGCGGGAGAGGCCACGGCAGTGAGAGGCCCGCATACAGCAAAAAAAAAAAAAAAAAAAAAAAAAAAAAA